TTTTGAGACAGTTTTGCTCTGTTGCCCAGGCTAGAGTGCAGTGGTGTGATCTTGGCTCACTGCAGCCTTCATCTCCCATGTTCAAGTAATTCTACCTCAGCCTCCTGAGTAGCTGGGATCACAGGCGCCCACCACCACACCCAGCTAACTTTTGTATTTTTAGTAGAGACGGGGTTTCACCATGTTGGCGAAGCTGGTCTCAAACTCCTGACCTCAAGTGATCCACCTGCCTTAGCCTCCCAAAGTGATGGGATTATAGGCATGAGCCACCATGCCTAGCCAAAGAGGGAAAGAGAGAGCGATAGGCCAAAAGCCTACAGCACTCGGTACTCCCAGGTAGTCTTCCATCCAAGTACTAACTACACCCGACCCTGCTTAGCTTCTGAGATCAGATGAGGTCAGGCACATTCAGGGTGGTATGGCTGGAGACCCTTTATTTCATACTTGGGCAAGAGGGAAGCCACCTGTTTGTCTAGCCAAGCCAATGCTCTGGGTTCTTGCCTGGGTGCTCCCTGCCACTTCCTGCTTCCTCTCTCCTCTCCTTGCAGTCCTGTCTTACTCCCTGTCTCCTTTCCTGCCATTTTCAGAGCTTGGGGCTCTCCTGGTGTGAGAGGAGAGTAGAGAGAAGGAAACGTGCTCACCAGCCCTTCTGCAGGCTCTCCCTGCTGTTGTGGCAAGGCCACCAAAGCACCAACAGACAGGTTTAGCTTCTGGGCCGGGGGCTTTTGGGCAGCCTGGTATGGGTGAGAGGAAAGTTTCTGGGCAGAATAATAACGTGCTACCTTCTAGCTGCAGCCTCCTGCTATGCCTCCCCCAAGCACGCACATGCCATGAAGACCAGCTGCATGAGGGGCCTCCAGGGTCTGAGCCCCCACTTGCAGGGAGTACTGTGTGCAGGAGGGTGCATTTCGGTGTCTGTAATTAAAAATGAGCACGCATCACTTCACCCAGCGAGGAGACGCCACCACCTCGGGTGGGATGCAACAGCTGCTTGCTGGCAGTGCAGCTGCCTGGGTGTCCAGCCTGGCATAGAAGGCTGGTTAGGACCGGGTAGCTCAGGGTGAATAGTAAGGCAAGGCCTAGGGCCCCTCAGCCAGACCTCATCCCTTTCTGGGCCTAGAGCTCATGTAGGAGATGTGACCCAGTCCTTGGCCCACACATTGCCTCCTCCTTTTCAGCATTTGCCACCACCTAGCTCTAAGCAAACCTCCGGCCTCTGGGTAGCCTGGGAGTGGGACCCATTGTCAACTTCCATCCTGGGCCTGACCTCTTCTGTCTTCTGTTTACGCCTCACCCCTGGCTGAAGCCAGGGCACAGGGCAATGTCGTGAGTGCAAAGCACTAAATGGGGATAGTTCAGACCCTTTCTCTTACCTCTTTTCTTTCTCTCCCCTGATTCAGAAAGACCTGCTCGGGAGGCACTGTGGGTCCCGTGGGAAACTTTGGCCTGGTGCATCAGTCTTGCTTTTGTTATGGGAGCCCTGAGCTGAATGGGCTAAATGCCTGCACCTTGCCCAGGAGATGAACTTAGACTGAGGTGAGGTGGGAATGTGTGGTGTGTCCTCAAGGTAGCTGAGGCACTGTGGCTGCTTGTGTGAGTGGGCGAGCTTCCCTTTTTTTGCCAGCACTCCTGAGTGGGTGAGCGGGTGTTAGTCAGGGTGGGGTGGTGGTAGGGAAGTGCTGGTGACTGAGGTCTCCTAGAAGTTCCTGCATCATAGGCAGTGTCCCAAGTCCCCATCTTGTTTCTGCATGTGGAAGACCCAGGGGGGATGGAAGGCCTGGAGGTATGTCTGAGGGACTGGAACTCCACATCCAGTTTCTTGCAGTCCTTGGTGCTACCTTGGCATGATTCACTGACTTTTGCCTGTTAGGTGGAGAGGATGTGAACATCTGCAACTCTCCCATCTTGGAAAGAGGCTTTATAGTCTCCTTGGGTCTGTGTGTCGGAGTGAGCTGCTCTGGGCTGTGGGTTTGTCAGATGGCCAGTGGTGTCAGTGGCAGAGCATGTTCTCATGTCCTGGCAGTGCTTCCATACACTTCTGGGTGTCTGGGCTGTGGAAGAGGGTGTGCCAGGGCTAGGAGGACTCCAGGCCCACCCAGGCTCTTCACCAGCAGGACCAGCCCAGTGTGACCTTGAGCTGGTGTCCTTGGCCACTGGCAGTCTGATCTCCAAGGGCTCCCTGGGGCTAGCTGAGGGAGAGGCAGCTGGCCTCACCTTCCTCCAATCATTTTCCAATATTTACTGTCTCATTAACATATTGCCCGGGCCATGATTCCTACCGTGCAGCAAGGACCTGAGAGCCAGCCCATGGTCACCTTCTCTTCCCTCTGAGGCTGCACCTGGTTGGGAGGGAAAGGGTTTGTCCTCTGCCTGATCACTCAGGGACAGAGCATATAGCTTGTCCTGCCCCTCACCCTCCATCCCCAGCCTTCACTAGACTCATTCTTTCTCAGTGGGCAGAGCATGGAAGGTAGAGCAGTCTCCCAGGAAGGGCCCAAGGGCAACTGCAATACCCTTCTCTGCCTGTGGGCCTGGCTTGGAAGTTTGCTCCTTTGCCTTCTTCCTGCCTCTTCTCTGCCCAAGTCTGAATTTTGGTAGGACCTGGTGCATGTGTTACAATGATTTGGCGCTGAACAGTCATGGCATTTTCATTAGCTCCATGTCTCCCTCTAGTATGGAGGATCAGAGCCCCCAGGTAACAGTGGGTAGGACCAGGCTAGTTTTGCCTCCAGGGGTCTGGAAACAGGCTCTGGAAGCTGGTGCTCCTTGTGTGGGATGCTGTGAGGAGGGAGAGCTGCACAGAGAAGGAAGGGCTGTGTGGCAGGGCCACAGTTTTCTCTTCATCCTCTGTCTCCCTTGTTCCTCTGTTCTCCCCGATGGCTTTGAGATGAAGGCGACGGCAAGGATGGAGGATGCAGTTTCCATGGCAACGGAGCTGTCCACAGCCAGGCAACTTCAGAGCGGGGCTCTCTGGAGGAGGCAGATGCACAGAGCAGCCGCAGAGCTGCCTCCTGCCTGCCATCGAGGGGGCTGGCAGAGCAGGTGGCACAGGGTGGCAGCCTGGTGCTGCCCAGCCTAGAGGAGAGGGTGGAAAGAGCAGTACTCCCTCTTATTATCTTGTTACTGCCAAGTTCCTCCAGAAGATAAGCTAGGGAAGTAGCCTGAGTGTTGAGAGGGGTTGGGTTAGGGTCCCCATTGTCCCTGGAATCTCTGGGTGGACACAGGCTCTGGCCTTTGGGATAATCTTCAAAAGCCAAATATCTGCTGCTCTGGTGATGGCTACTCAGCTGCTACCCTTTGGACCCTTTTCCCAGAGTGTGAGGATGTTGGTGAAGGCCATGCCCTGACTAGATTCAGGAAGCCTTTTCTTCCATCTAGCTACCGGGGAAGGACCTGGACCTTCCTCAGGGGCTTCCTTGCCCTTGGCTTCAGTGACCTGGCCCAGTTTGCTGAGTGGGTCTCAGGTTTGGCAGATGCCTGCCTCTAAGTGCTGGCATTGGAGGGGCCCCAGATCCTGACAGCGTCTGATTCCTGACACTGTGATCTTGTTTGGCCTCCTCCTGGAGACCAGGGCTGGAGTGGGTATGTCGGTGGGTAGGGAAGCAAAGACAGCCATCTGTGTGTTTAGAAATGGGAGGTGTTGGGGGCATGGACTCTTGAGATGGAGAAAGCCCAGAGGGCACCCAGATTGGCAAAGAAGATTTGACTTCAGCTATTAAAAAATAATGACTTTCCTTCACTGACCTTGGAATCATGAGGGCTGGAGTGTTCTACTTGACGTTGAGCACATGGAGACTTGGGATGAAAGGCTTTGCCTAGATGGCTCATGGAGTTAGAGGCTGAGCCGCAACCAGACCTGGGCCAGGCCAACCACCTCCTGTATGGCCTCCTAGATGCATCCTCCCTCCAGCTGGCTGCTGAGGGTCCTAGTTACATAGACCTTTCAGGCTCACTTCTGTTTCCCTTTATCATCTGTAGGCTTGTGTTTAACCCTTCTTTGCTTGTTTGCTTTAGTTGAAGGAGGTTCCTCAGCCCTGGGGTTGACCAGGCAGGCAGACAAGTGGAGTCCTGGAGTGGTTTCTCTCTGCAAGGCAGTTAAGTCTCTCATTACTGCTAAGTGGAAGGCTCATTTCAGAGCTGTGGTGAGAGCGGGGCAGGTGCTATAAACAGCCGTGTTGTGAAGGTTGGCGGGTGAGGAGACTGGGCAGGGGCCTTGCAGTCATCTTAGTGGGTATTTGTGCTCCACCCATTGCAGGAAAGGCGGGGGCGGGCTCTGAGCGAGAGGAACTTGACCCCTGTTCTGGCTGTCCCTGCCTGCCTCAGGCATGTCTGTGCCCCTCCATATACATTGGGGGATGGGAAGCATTGGATTCTATGTCTAGGCAGAGGGAGGTGAAGTGCCTGTTGAAACTTGGGGCCCACTGGCGGGCTGCTCCGCCTCGCGCGGGGCGTCTCCCGCCGCGCGCCGGGACCCGGGTCCGGTGAAAAGTGCTCCTAGTCCTGGGAAACGGGGTGCGGCCGGAAAGGCGGCCGCCCCCTCGCCCGTCACGCAACGCACGTTCGTGGGGAACCTGGCGCTAAACCATTCGTAGATGACCTGCTTCTGGGTCGGGGTTTCGAACGTAGCAGAGCAGCTCCCTCGCTGCGATATATTGAAAATCAGCCCTCAACACAAAGGTTTGTCCGCGTGAGCAGGGGCCTGGCGGAGCGGGCGTGTTCCATCCACCCTTCCGTCTCCCTCGCGGCCTCACTCCCCGTGGCCCAGGGGTTGGCAGGGGGCGGCCACTCGGGTTCCAGTCCTCTCCCGTCCCCGCGGCCGGGGTCAGGCAGGTGGGTCCGGCGCAGCCGCCCTTCCAAAAAAAAAAGAAACTTGGGGCCCAAAAGGTGGTACATCAGCCCATTGGGTAATGTCCTGTGCTAGATCTTCTTGTCCTGCCTGCCCTTTCAGTCTAGGGCCTCCCTCCTCCCCATCAGCGAAAACCCTGAGCCCACAGGTGAGGAGGTATGGGAGCTACATCTGATAGTCTCAGAGGTTGACATAGACTAGCAGGGGAATAAATGGGAGTGGAAGTGGGGTTTAGCTGGCCTTGACCCCTGTCCAGGGTCTGTAGAGGCATGTCTGCAAGAGCAGGAGATGGAGGCCTAAGGATTGGGGGTACTGGCCTTCTGATATCTGTGGATCAGTCAGCATTGTCCAGGGTAGACCAAAGGTCAGGGCCAGGGGGTCCTGGGATGGAAAGTCTGGCAGGTGAGAATACCTTGGCTTGGGCACGTGGGGTCCCTATCCTGGGGGTCGTCCAGGGGTGCCAAGCTTCATGGCTCTGTGAGACCAGTGCCTTCTGGAACAGCCTTTTGGTCTCAGTTGTACACATAGGAGAGCAGTGCCAGGCTCCTGGGTTCTTTTATCACCTGCCCTAGGGTGTCATCCTGGGTCTTAAGACTATTATTGCACTCTGGAGTCTGGGGCCCTGCTGTTAGGGTGCTCTATGTATGCCTCCCTCAGCAGGGCTTTGGAACTTGGAAGAGATTGAGAGGCAGAGTCAGCCCCTGGGACAGAATAGGTAATAGCCAGTTCCGGGGGCCACCCAAGGACAAGTGAGTCAGGGGCCCTGTAGGGCTCATTCTGCCTTTTGCAACTTTCTAACTAGGAGCGGAAGCTGTGTGCCCATCCTCGGCTGGAGATTTACCAGCAAGACCAGATCCATTTCATGTGCCCACTAGCACGGCAGGGAGATTTCTATGTTCCTGAGGCGAAGAAGACAGAGCAGAAATGGCGGGGGCTTGCAGAGGCCATTGATGCCCAGGTGGGTGGCACAGGTACAGAAGGTGAGGTATGAGTGTGGGGCCCTCCTGGAGCTCTTCACTTCTGGATTTCAGGGGCTTGGTTGAGGAGGCTCCTTCCTCTCTGGGTTGGCACTGTGGGTGTCAGTCTATGCTTGGCAGAGGGAGGAAGCAGACCCACCTACCTGAGGACCCATGTGGAGTTTCCTGTTCCCAGACATGTGGATCTACATAGATGTGGATTCACACACATTACCTCCTGGCAACACAGATACAAAGACCCTGCCCAGATTCCTTCCAGATGCAGCAGGAGTACGCTTGGAAACAAAGATCACAGATAGCTCAGTGCTCATGGGAGGGGGCTGAGGCTGCTCAGGAAAGGAGTCCCTTGGGTGGGGCTCAGCAGGAAGTAAGATTGGCACTGGATCTGGAAGGTAAGGAGGGGAGCAAAGAGTTCTCTTGTCTCTCAGTATGGGCCCCGCCCAGAGCCAGCTGCTTTTTCCCTGCCAGGGAGCAACCAGGGAGCATGCAGAGGGGAGCCAGGAGATCAGTCCCTGGGCCTTCCTCCAGGGCCAGCCTACACTCCTGCTGGCAGCCTCAAGGCTCCAAGTCCAGGTTGCTCAACTCTCCGCAATGATCTCTGTGACCCTGGGCTGTCCCAGGCACAAGGAGGTCTGCTGGTTACATCCCAGATGGTCTCAGGGGACCTTATAACTTTGGCCAACCATGTGGAGTCCATGACTTCTAGGAGTGGTACAGGGCTCTGGGTAGAGGAACTGTCCCTCTTCTCTCCATGACTCCTAGGAGTGGTACAGGCTCTGGGTAGAGGAACTGTCCCTCTTCTCTTCATGACTCCTAGGAGTGGTACAGGGCTCTGGGTAGAGGAACTGTCCCTCTTCTCTCCATGACTTCTAGGAGTGGTACAGGCTCTGGGTAGAGGAACTGTCCCTCTTCTCTCCATGACTCCTAGGAGTGGTACAGGGCTCTGGGTAGAGGAACTGTCCCTCTTCTCTCCATGACTCCTAGGAGTGGTACAGGGCTCTGGGTAGAGGAACTGTCCCTCTTCTTTCCATGACTTCTAGGAGTGGTACAGGCTCTGGGTAGAGGAACTGTCCCTCTTCTCTCCATGACTCCTAGGAGTGGTACAGGGCTCTGGGTAGAGGAACTGTCCCTCTTCTCTCCATGACTTCTAGGAGTGGTACAGGGCTCTGGGTAGAGGAACTGTCCCTCTTCTCTCCATGACTCCTAGGAGTGGTACAAGCTCTGGGTAGAGGAACTGTCCCTCTTCTCCTCCTTCTTTAGCAGACGTTCTGCCCATCCAGTCTTCAGCAGTCAAGGTCACCCTAGGGAGACGTGTCAGCTGGGGCTGGGCAGGAGGGTACTGGGAGCAGTCTCTACTCCCTAGGGGCCTGTGTCCAACCCAGTTAACTTCATCTGCCACTTAATTACCTCCGTGGGGTACAGCTTCCTTCTGCCTGGTAGTGCCCGGCAGACACTCTTCAGAGCCCCCACTGTGGGCACAGGACATGGCACAAGGTCAGCAGGCCCAGGCAGCCTCCAGGGCAGGAAGACAGCGTATTCACTTTCCTGTGACCTCCCGCTGCTGCCTGTCTCCCCCTCCTTGACCCACCCACCCAGCTTCCTTCCCTCCCAAACACTGCCTGCCAGGGGCATTGAAGGACTGCTTGGCATCCGCTACAGCTGGCTGCAGCCGCAGTTCCCACATTCCCCAGCTCCTCAGCCTATTTTCCTCCCCTCCAGCCCCCCACCCACTCCCTGGTGTTGAGGCCAAGGGGTCTGCCCACTTCTCACAGGGCCCATCCTGACACTCCAGGAGGACTCTGGGTGTTTGCCTGCCAGGTGCATGCCATTGACACAGCAGCTGGTGGTGGATGTATGGAGGGTGTCTGACTGCCCAAAGCTTGGCCTGTCCCTGCCTGCCTCCCTGCTGTGGCCTCAGCTTGGAGGTGAAAGGGGGTGATTAGCTGCCTTGTGCCTGTTATTACATTGATGTATTATTTAGCTCCAGAGAGGCGATGAATATTTGATCGTCTTGCACTGGCTATGGGCAGAGCGGGAGGGAGGGATTGGGGTGAAGGGGGTGGCTTCACATCCCCTGCCCCAGCAGCCATGGGGATTTAGGTAGGGCCGTGCCTTACGTGGTATCTTCTCCCTAGGGATGCAGGCATGAGACTCTGGAGCCTCATCCTGTGTAGATCTTGGTGGGGCTATAGGGATGCCACTTCCCTGCATTGCACTCTTTTTTTTTTTTAAATTCTGAGGCAAGGTCTGGCTCTATTGCCCAGGCTGGAGTGGTGCAGTGGCAAGATCTCAGCTCACTGCAACCTTTGCCTCTCAGGCTTAAGCTGTCCTCCCACCTCAGCCTCCTGAGTAGTTGGGACAACAGGCGTGCACCACCACGCCTGGCTAATTTTTATATTTTTTGTAGAGATGGTGTTTTGCCATATTGCCCAGTCTGGCCTTGAACTTAGCTCAAATGATCCTCCTGCCTCAGCCTCCTGAAGTGTTGGGATTACAGGCATGAGCCACCATGCCCAGCTGGATTCTTTTTTTTTAAATGGCATTTTGCTCCTTCTCTCAGGCTGGAGTGAAGTGGCATAATCTCGGCTCACTGCAACTTCAGCCTCCTGGGTTCAAGTGATTCTCCTGCCTCAGCTTCCTGAGTAGCTGGGATCATAGGCACCTGTCACCACACCTGACTATTTTTTGAATTTTTAGTAGAGGCAGGGTTTCTGCATGTTGGCCAGGCTGATCTCAGACTCCTGACCTCAGGTGATGAACCTGCCTCAGCCTCCCAAAGTGCTAGGATTGCAGGTGTGAGCCACTGCGCTGGCCTCTGGCTGGATTCCCTTGCTTGAAGTGTATATATGTCCCCGGGGGCTGTCTTCATCTCAGCAGGCTGTACTGGCTGGAAAGAGGCACTTCTAGGCTCCTTCCTCTGAATACTCCTAGCCTAGGAGCTGGGTGGTAGGAGGTAGCATGCTGGGAAACAGGCACATTTCGCTACCTGGGGTCCCAAGAGAGCCATTGGACAGGTGAGCAGACAGAACATACAGTTTAGTAGGGCCAGGGAGAAACTGTCTCCCTCCTTTGCTCTTTTCAGGCCTGTAGTTCCTGGGGCACTGATCATCATTTAAAGAGCAGTGAGGGCCTGGGATCCTGCCCCCTGCTCAGAAGAAACTACCCCAAATCCCCCACCACCTCACTCACAGGCCTCTGCCCTGGGAACCACACCTGGGGCCTTAGCAAGAGCTGGGCTTCCACGGCTGACCTCACCTTTGCCAGTAGTGCCCAGAGGGCATATTCTGCGGGCTGAGCGGGTGGTGGGGATAGGGAGAGACTCCAAATTCCCCCACCTCCTAATTCTCACCCACAACCTAGGCCCCAGCTGAGGCTCAAGGAAAGCCCTAGGCTGAGTCCAAGTGCCAAGCAGACCCCAACTGCGCCTGGCTTGGCTCTATCACTATGGAGACAGCAGCTGGGGAAGCTGGCCCACCCCTCACCTTCCGTGATGTTTGACGCTTGCCCCTCTCCCTCTCACACAGGAAGGGTAGCAGATCCTCTTTCTCCCAGTCTGGATTTCTGCACACACGGGCCTGAGCCCTGTGTTCCTTCTTGCCACCCCGACCTGCTTTCTGTGCCTCTGATCCAGGGAGATGAACCCAGGGGTTGCTCCTGAACAGGACAGATGAAGAGGCTCCTTACTAGGAGGATGTATTGTGGGTGGAAGGAGCAGGTTAGAAGGGGTTTGGGCCACCAGCCTGGCTCAGCACTGGTTTGGGGCACCCCACCCACCAGCAGAGTGCTCTCATGGTCTCCTTTTGCCATCTTGTGTCTCAGGAAGCCCCAGTCATTGAGGGTGGGTGGGTAAGGGTTTCTCAGAGTCGACCCAGGCATAGGGGGAGAAATCCCTTAACCTGTTTCATCCCAGCACCCTCCTCCTTGCAGCTGGTTGAGTGTTTCTCAGGCCTTCTTTATCCTACTGGCACTTCAGCTCCCTCCTCAAGTGGGGACTTGGGTGTGGGCCAGAGGCAGGGGCCTGCTGACTCCCTGGATGCTGCTCCTGGGAGCTCTGCGTGGGGGAGGGTGGGAGAGGGGTCTCCTGCTGCATTCTGCAGTCCTCATGCCCTGTGGGCGATGTTGTGTAGTTGGCCCTGGACACATCTCTCTCCAAGCTTGAAATGGGGGTGGGGGAGGTGGAGGGGACACTACTTGGGTCTCTTTATTCTACTTCAGCTCCTCACCTCAGGGCTGAGTGGCCCTTAATAAATGTGGGGGGAGGGCAGGCTTTGTGGAAGTATAGGGAGCTGAGGCTAATTCAGGGTGGGGAGAGGAGTGCACAGCTGCCTGCTTTCTCCCTCCTTCCTTCCCTGTCTCCCTTGCCACTCCTTTCCTCTGCCCTGTCTGTGTAGCCCCAGTCAGGGCAGAGGGCAGAGGGCAGCAGGAACGAGCCCCCTGAGCCCAGGAGGCCGCATTATTCATGAGTGTGCTGTGTGTGCTGAGTTGCCTCTCCCTGGATGAGGGGGTGGGGTGGTCCTGGCTAACCTGTGCTCCCTTTTCCTGGCCACAGGAGCTGACACGATGAGTGACACGATGAGTTCCGTAAGCTTGGAGGTGAGCCCTGGCAGCCGGGAGACTTCAGTTGCCACACTGTCACCGGGGGCGAGCAGCCGTGGCTGGGATGATGGTGACACCCGCAGTGAGCACAGTTACAGCGAGTCAGGTGCCAGCGGCTCCTCTTTTGAGGAGCTGGACCTGGAGGGCGAGGGGCACTCGGGGGAGCCACAGCTGGACCCTGAGACTGAGCCCCTGGGGAGTACCAAGTGGCCGTGGCAGCCCAGTACCCCTGAGAAGGGCAAGGAGTAATCTGTGGCCTGCACCCTCCTGCAGTGCCATTGCTGAGGAACTGAGCAGACTCTCCAGCACTCTCCAGCCCTCTCCCTCCTTCTCCTGGGGGAGGAGGGGTTCCTGAGGGACCTGACTTCCCCTGTACCAGGCCTCTTGCTAAGCCTTCTCCTCACTGCTTTTTTGGCTCCCAGGGCCAAAGAAGTCAGGGACTGTTTTCTGCACCAGCCCCCAGGGCTGCTGCCCCTGTTGTGTCTTTTTTTCAGACTCACATTGGAGCTTCCAGGACCCAGAATAAAGCCAATGATTTACTTGTTTAACCTAGATTTGGATTGTGTATTTGTTTGTTAGTTCTGCCTTGGTGGGCAGGGGGGTCCCCATACAGATAGGCTGGGATTGGGCAGGAGCCTCCCCTCCCCAGGACAAGGAATGGAGAGAACATGGCAGGTACCCTGGGTGTTAGAAATCCTCCATGTCCTGCTTCGTGACCCCAGTGGTCAACTACCCCTCAATTGCAGCTGCCAGAGAGCAAGCGGAGCTGGCTTGTGGGAGAGCTGAGCACGGGGCACCCTCCAGAACTCAGGAGTGGGGAGCTCACAGCCTGTCTTCGTCTGCCTCCAGGGGATGCCTCTCTGTCTGTGGCTCTAGTGTGCCTGCACGTGGTACCTCCCTAGCAGGCAAGGCTGTCTCATTGTGCCTGCCAGTGCCTGTGTACCTGTATGCGTGTGCACCCATGCTCATGCATTTGTCTCTGTAACCATGGATGGGGCTGCTTGGGTGAAGCTGTGCCCAGGTGAGCATCAGGGTGTGCTTGTAGCTGAGCATGGCTGTGTCTGTGTGGCTGACTGTGCTTTGTGTCTGTGTATGGTTGAATTATAGGAGCATGTGAGGCTGGCTAACAGCATCTCTGTGGGGGCTTTGTCCATATACAGCTGTGTGTGGCGGTGCCTGTACAGCTGTGTGTATGGTGATGTTCATGATGTTCATGTAAAAAGCTATGTGTTTTGCTATGTGTCTGCGTATAAAGGCTATGGGGCTCTGTGCAGCTGTGTATCCATAATTATGGCTGTGCACGTGTGGCCATGTCTTGGTCTACAGCTATCTGTGGTATGTCTATGTGAGCAGCTGTATATATGTGGCTGTGTCCACATGTGCAGTGGTGTGTAGGCATGTTCATAGGGGCAAGGGTTTGCCCATTTGTATTATGGCTGTTTGCAAGTATAGTTATGTGTGGTTGCATGTTCATGTGTGCTATATATGTGGCTATGTATACATGTACAACTGTGTGTAAGGCTGGGTGTTACGTCCTCATCTGTGTGCACAGCTGGGAGTGGTGGCTGTCTAGCTGTGTGTAACTGCATGTCCAGGTGCTGTGATTGTGCAGCTTGTTTGCTGCAGGCCACATCATGGGCTTTTTGGGCTGGTGCTGTACATAGCCATATCTGTGTATACAGCCCCATGCCTTTTGTGAGGCTGATGTGTTGAGCAGGCTGGGAGTGTGGCTAGTGGGAGTGTGGCTGGGAGGAGTGTGTGACTCCTTACCTCAGCACCCTCCTGCTGTCAACCCCTCCTCTCCAGAGGCCTGGCCCATCGCTCACCTACCCCAGGGAGTGGTTGCTCTGAGGCAGCCAGAGAGGGTGAGAGCAGCCGGTGGCAGAGTTGGAGGTGGAAGACAGCATGTCTGTCTCCCGCTACCACCTTGTCTCCTGTTAGTGATGGGGCTTGTGTTTATTTGGGTTTGATGTGTCTGTTTTGTTTCAAAACTGTATTCTTTTCACAGCAGTGGGACACCGGGTTTCTGTGTCCAGGGAAAAGGCTTGTCCTTGGTGATCATCCCTGCCCCCCCTACAGACTGCCACTTGCATATGTGGGGGTGTGTCCCTGAGGGCTGGGCTTGGCATGTTCTTTATCATGTATCTGAGCTGGCCTTGCTTCCACCGACACCTGTGGAGGAAAGGGCAGTGTCAGGGGAATGTGTGTAGGGATGCCATGCCCCTTGGCACTTGTTAGTATGTGTACATGTTAGGGCAGATAGCACAGTCTCTTTAATCCCCATTCCTTCAGCACAGTCTGGCACTACAGCTTACCCACTACCCTCTAACCAGGGGTGTCCTTCCCCATACTGCTGTGGGAGGGAAGAGTCAAGAGCATCTTCTCAGAGCTGTCCTCCCTCTGCTTGGGCTCCAGCTTTCACTCCCTCCTACGCAGCAGCCAGTTCCAGAAGTCTTTCCCCAGGCCCCTCCCCTTCCAAATCCCCCTGCCATCCATAACACTCCCTAAGGGTTGACCCTAGTACTTGGTTCTGCAGGTTGCTATCTCCTTGCTTAAATACCCTTTTTACATGGGAGTAAAAAGGTGGCAGGTTTAAAGGGCATCTGCAGGAAGGAAGGGGACCCCCCCACTCTCCTCTGACCTCCCCTTTCCCCAATCTTTTCCTCCTAATGAGGCTCCAGCTCAGGCTCCAACTCTCAGAAGGGGCTGAGGACACATGCCACCAGCTCAGGCCTGGGATGTAGATCCAGCTGGTCATTGGGTGGGGAGAATAGACTCCGCCTGTTTCCCACGTGCCCATTTACCTGTTCCCCAGAGGTACCCCTTGACTCTAGGGCCAGCTCCTCCACTCTGCAGTAGCACTATGTGCACCTGTTGGGGCGCAGTGACCTTCCTCACACCTTGCCCCATGGCATTCCCCCTTCCCCCACCTGTACTCTCCAGGTGGTAGTCTGATAATGGGGCGGAGTGGGCCACCAAGCACCTGCTCCAGCACAGAGGGAGAGCGCTCGGAGATTCAGCACCAGGATGTGGACAGCTCCAGACCCAGAGGTCCCAAGAAGAGCTGGAGCGTGGAGGGTCCAGAGGCTGGCGGAGGCAGGGTTGGGAGCTGGAGACCTGGAGTCAGAGTAGGGAAGAACGGAGGAGGGGCTGGGGGCGGGCCGGGGCCGGGGCCAGGGCCGGGGCGGGCCGCGATTGAAAGCTGCGGGGCGAGCGAGCGGGCGGAGAGTGCAGAGCCAGCTAGCAAGGGAGCGAGCGGGAGCCAGAGCCCCGCGTCCCCCGCCCGCTCCACTCCGATTCTCTCCGCGCCAGAGCCGAGCGCACCAGGTAGGGTGAGCCGGTGGTGCCGCTACCGCTGCCAACCTTTTTGGCCCTGACCTCACGTCCCAGGGCCCTGCAGGCCCTTGAGTTGTGGGGCGCCCACGCTGGGATGTCCAGACAACGCTCCCTGGGAGCTCCGGGAAGCGGGAAGACAGCCCTGGGCGTCCCGCCTTTCTTCCCCAGAAAACGCACGCTCGGAATAGCGCTTCCCGGTTGCTCCTGCTCCAACGTCCTCTGGTCCTTCTTTCTGTTTGTGCCTCCGTCTTTGTCTCAACCTCTCAGGCTCGTTCTCTCCCTGCCCAGATTTTGTGGCCCAGGTCCCTGCCTGCCTGACTCCGGGTTTCTGTCCCTTTCCTTCCTCTGAGCTTCCGTCTGGGCCTCCCCTGTGGGAGGCTTGCGACTTGACCAGTTTTGGCCTCAGCCCCCACCTGGGTCCCTGTCCCCATCTGCGCTGGTCTTCCTTCCTGCTTCTCCTTCGCCTGCCTGTGTGAGCTGCTTCTTTCCTGATCCCCAGAGGAGCCCAGTGCCCCTGCCCTGGGAGCTGAGGGAGCAAAGTGAGGAGCCTTAGCCTCTGTGGCCAGCACATGGGGTCCTTGAATTAGTTGCTGCCCTTCTTCAAACTCAGTTTCCTTTCCTGTTCTGAGGAAAGAGGTGTAGCCCTCTCCCAGCCTTTCCAAGCCTGTGCGATTGTGAGAGCCTTTGTGGGGTGTGTTTGGGAAGGCAGCTGGAGTACACATGATAGGCTGCAGGGGGGAAGAGACAGGGATGGGGTTTCTGAGGGTCATGGCTAGGGTGGGCAGGTCCCTGAAGCTGAGGATGGAGAGATTGGAAATGGTGACTTTCTCTGCTGGGTATGGAGTGAAGAGAAAACAAAGGCACAAAGTCTCAAACAGCATTCTACATAGAGCTAGGGAGTCCCACACTCTCACCCTCAGCACTGTTTGGAGACTCTATCCCCCAACTCTGACACACACGCTGCTTGCCCTGTTGACTTATGACCTTTGACCACTTGGGTACCCTCCCTGGGGCCAGCCTTTCTACGTTGCTGTCTCATTCCCAGGGCTTAGGGTCTCTATCCCTTCCTCAGTTAGGACACTGTGGGGATGGCTTTTTAAGAACCAAAGGCTAGGATTCTTGGGTGTTCACATAGGCTCATCTCCCCATGGGTTGGAGACTGTCCCTTAGAGATTCTTCCCTGATGGGTCCTTTATTCTGGAAATCCAAGGCTCAGGATGGAGACCTCTGAGTTTGTAACTCTGACATAGACTGTTCCAAAGGTATTGGCCTCGTGATCCTGGGAAGTTTGTGCTGGTCTTGGACACCCTTTGATTTACAGAGGGGTGAGCATTGGCTGGGGTCTCCTGTCATCTGCCTGGGCCTTCACTCTTTGCATCCCTCCCCACTGCTGGTTTTGGTAGGGGACTAGGCCCCATCTCTTGCCCAGCTGAGACCAGGGCTGAGAGATAGGCCCAGGGGAGTCCCAGGAGCTTCTCAGCCTAGTTCATGAAACCACCCTGTCCCTGGCTCCTGAGTACCTAGGAAAGGCAATTGGGGGGAGGTGGAGTCAGAAGGGGCAGCTGCTCTCAGGTTCCACTTTTCCTGGTCTGTTTGTCTATGTTTCTATCTCTGCAGGAGCTGGGTCCCTTCTCATCTCTCTTCTTGTCTGTCCTTTACTGGTCCCTGTTTCCTCCGCTCTTTGCCTTTGCTGCCTCTAATCTTATCCCCCCTGGAGATCCAGGTCTGCTGGACCCATCCATCTCCTCTGGGGCCATGGGATCGCTGCTTGGGCTCCTGGCACTGCTGCGGCTGTGGGGTGCTGTGGCTGAGGGCCCAGCCAAGAAGGTGCTGACCATGGAGGGAGACTTGGTGCTGGGTGGGCTGTTCCCAGTGCACCAGAAGGGTGGCCCGGCTGAGGACTGCGGTCCTGTCAATGAGCACCGTGGCATCCAGCGCCTGGAGGCCATGCTTTTTGCACTGGACCACGTCAACCGTGACCCGCACCTGCTGCCTGGCGTGCGCCTGGGTGCGCATATCCTCGACAGTTGCTCCAAGGACACACATGCCCTGGAGCAGGCACTGGACTTTGTGCGTGCCTCACTTAGCTGTGGTGTCGATGGCTCACGCCACATCTGCCCCAATGGCTCTTACGCCACCCATGGTGATGCTCCTACTGCCATCACTGGTGTGATTGGCGGCTCCTACAGTGATGTCTCCATCCAGGTAAGTG